TGCTCCGGTGCAGCTCCCCCGGTGCCCGCAGGGAACCAGGCAGCGTTACCGCTGATCCACGGGCGTGGAAGGGGCGAGATATGGAAACAAACCCCCCCCCTCCACCGTGTCCCCGGGTGGCAGCACCTGGCACAGGCACCCTGGCCGTGTCCCACGCCGCCCAGGCTCAGGGCAGAGCTCCTCTCACCATGGCGGGGCTTTCGGGGTGCGTGCAGGGTAACGAGGCTTTCGGGGTGCACGGGGTAGGTGCCTACATACCACCAGCTCTCCCGGTGCAACTGTGCCAAGGCCACCCCCCTGCGCCTCGGCCCTTCTGGGGTGACATTTGGGGTGACCCACTTCCTCTCTCGGTTTCAGGCTGGTGTCAACGGTCCAAGCCACGATGGCAACGGTGTCGGGGATCACAGTTGTCCTTAGCTGCAAGGACGTGGTGTATGACAGGTAATCCCCGTGTCCCACAGCCTCGCTGTCCCACGAGGAGCACGTGGAGGCTGCGCCCGGCCGGCTCGCAGCCGGGGTGTGTGATGCCAAAGGCTTGCACGTACAAAGGGGAGAGGAAAACCAGCTTCATGTTCCTCTTTCCTTCGCTTTGGGTTAAGGGTTGGGCAATGTCGCTGGCCGCACACCCCCCCGAAAGGCGCTGGCTTGTTCAGTGCGCTCAGACCTGGGGCTGTAACATGGGCCCATATATGAGCAAAAAAATAAAGACATCGTCCCTTCTAAAGGGGCAGGAGGTCTCCTTGCTGGAAGCTGAAATTGCAAATGGTTCAAGCAAACTTAGTGAGAAGTGATTTTAGAGGTGTACTGCTTTCTCCTTGTCAAATGGATTCCAAAGGAGTCCAGAAACAAGAAAAATCCGTATGGAGTCTGCTCTGAAGGAAAATCCCATCGCCCTGTCCTCAGTGCCCCGAGATAAACTGCCCCAGAAGCAGCTCTCAGCAGCAGTGATAGCGCAATCGGGGTCAGGAGACTTAAAAACAGAGCTATTATCTGGAACAGCAGAGAAAATTGTAGGAGGGAAGAATATAATTATGCTGAGCTGGAATTTGACTGTCACACACCAGATTTTAGGGTGAATTTTAGGGAGGGCTGCCCTCTTGGTCATTGCAGACTTGCCATTAATACACAGATGTGCCATGTCCTGCCTTGCTCTGGAGATCCATCCAAACTGCTCAGGCAGCCTCACAAGTTACCTTTCTGCTCCAAAATAAAATACCTTCTGTATAGACAGGGCACATGAAAATCCTGGACCCACACAGACAGAAAGTGCTGCCAGCAGCCCTCCTTCTCCCCGGAGCCGACTGCTCGCCCGGCTGCTCTCAAGGCCAGCAGCTCCGTGCAAACGCTGTGTGGTCAGAGACCTCGATTTTCTTTGAATCTGGAGGAAGTACAGCCCCGCGCTCAGCAGGGAAAGCCTCGGAGAATGACAGCAAGACAGAGAGCCAGGAAGCCTCACAAAGCTTGCAGTAAAATTTGCCAATTTATTTACCCAGGCAGACAATCCTGATCCTGCTGGCACTATAATTGCCCTCCAAAGCCCTGGGCAAGTTTTGCAAACACAATAGCCGGTCACTTCCCCTCCCTGACATCACTTCCATCTATCTGGAATAGGAATGCATGTGACAACATTCTTCTTGAGATGGTAGGAGAGCAAAAGCAGATTTATTCGGGCCCCAAGCTACGTTTCTTTAAGCAGCAGTGGAGGGTGCTGTGGTGTTTTGGGGTTTTTTTATCGGTGTGATTTCACTCAGGGCGGTGTAAGGAGCCCGGTCTCCCTGCAGAGCAGGGCTTGCTGCTGCCTGAATTGTGCAACCGGGATTCCGACATGCTTTGGGAACAGGCAGCTGCCTGCAATTATTTCCCAACAGATAAACGTCTTGCGGGGGTTTATTGCCTATATTAGATATTTTGCACTTCACTCTCCAAAGTCCAAGCCAGGCATCTCTCATTAACTCTGAGGTCTCCAGTTGCTTTCCAAACGCTCCCCGGGTTGGGCAGGCAGCCGACGCAGCGTGGCAGGCAGAAGGAACACAGTCTTGGAGCTTTTCTCCTCCCAAGCATCAGCTCTGGGTGCACCAGGCCTTAGGGGAGAAGATTACCTGCTGCCAAAGTGTCGGATTAGTGCTGGATCCCACGCGGTGCTGTGCCCCCGGCCCGCACGGCAAACACCCAGCCATCGGGCTAATCAAGATCCTCCCGTTAGCGCCGTGTTTGTGCTTGGCTGGGCCGAGCTCGGTGCCTGGCACAGCCAAGCGCAAAGCCCAGGAGGCGTCCTCCAGCCGTACCAGGTACCTTTTCTCTGCTGAGCCAAATCAGGTTAAATTTTGACACCTCTCAGCTTACCATCAAAGCCCGCTGCTTGCATCTCAGCCCTAAAGCCTCTGTTCCACCTCTCAGAGCATCTCGAGGTGCTGGGAGCCGTCGCGATGCCTCTGTGTGTGCTGCTCCCCCCCCAGGCACTGGCTGGCCGTGGAGTACATCTGGGTCCTGGTTCCCTACATGACCTACGACATTTACGTCATGTACCTCTGCCACTGGCACAAGAGCCGGGACCGCGGAGTCGTGGAGGAGAAGCACTCGCTGGCCAGCGTGCGGAGCTTCCTCCTGCAGGAGCGGCTGGTGGGGGCCCCCCACCTCTTCCTCCTCATCGTGCTCACCCCCGTCACCCAGGTGAGTGCTGAGCTGTGAAACCCAGCCCGCCAGGAGCTGCAAGGGCTCGCAATCAGGGCTACGGCTGGCAAAGCATCTCTGCTGGTCAGGAGCCCGTGACCCCCTGGAGATGCTCCCAGCCACCTCTCCAGGAGGGTCCTGTGCTCTTTATTTTCAGCACTTCAGGGGAGAGCTGGGGGATTTCTTCGTGGGCTGCATCTTCACGGCAGAGCTGAGCACACCTTTTGTATCGCTGGGCAAAATCTTCATGCAGGTAAGGTGAGGAGGGACAGGGTTGGGGTCTGGGAACCCCACAGCAGCTGGCACCCCTTCCCTGCCCCAGGCTGCCCTTCTCCACCAGCCCCTGTTCACAGAGCAGCTGGGCTGAGGGGGTCCTGGAGGGGACATCCCCAAACTGGGGACTGTGCTGTGTCCTGGTACTGCTCCCTCCTGTCTGTACCTCCCCCCTGCCCCAGTCCCTTGCCCCCCCATGCC